TATCCTATGTTTATCTCATATAGACTGTTAATATAAAAATGATGCAGTTAACCAAATAGCAACCTAATATCTTCATCAGTATCTGAAATATACAGTCACTGGTTAGTTTTTTGTTTGATTAATGCTCTTATGCAATATAAATGACCTTAATAATTACCAGTTTACTTGAAATATTTCGTTATGTGCACTGTGTTCTCAGCAACTTAACAAAATGTCGAATGTTAAGTGTATTGGAGGAGGCAGGTTTTTAATTGAGTCACAAATAACTGTACATAAGGTAAATGATGAGAAGTTAAGATTTAAATAGCAGGTGTTCGCACCCTGTGGAGTAAGTATTTTATAGACTATTTGCATTTAGAATCACCGGGCAGATTTGTGAAAAAGACTCCCAAGCCCTACTGAAAACCTACTGCATCAGTCTATGCGGATGGGGCCCTGCATTTTTCGCAATCATCCAGGTGATTCTAATCACATTAAAACTTGAAAACCACTGCTCTAGGACTAGGGGCAGAACGAGATGACATATTTTGTAGTTGGAATGCTCAAAATGTAAACATGTTCCCAAGGAGAATGTTAACAAATGTTAAAAATTCTTCATGTTTTATCTTCTCTGTTGGATTACACTAAACTCTGAATAAAGGCATGTGTCTTTTTGTGATTAATTAATTAACTGGTTGACTGGCTCATTTTGCATTCATTTAACAAGTTCCTGGGTATCATTTACGAGCTTGGCACTATCCCGATGTAGACCTTTTCTTGTTATGGATAAGACAGCAATTAAAAGGTTTCAAAGATATTCCTCACCATATTTTTTACTTCAAAGATGTTCACTAGTTCTCCCTTGGATATTGTTGCTCTTCAGAATAAAGTAAGGTCCTTTCCAGTACCTATAGATTTTAACAATTTCTTAAAATAATCACTGAAAATAAAACTGCTGCTTGGAAATTACAAAAAGGTATCCCAAAGTCACAAAATGGAATTTTAAAAGCCTCATTTCAGTGACCAATATTTAAGAGCTTTGCTCCTCTTTAGAGAATACCATAAATACTGAATTTTACAGTATAGAAAGTACGCAGCTACAGTCTCCTAAAAGGTATCCAACAAACAATGGATAATAGGGATACTGATACAAAGTTTATGTGTGTGTTTTACATCTATGTATTTAAATAAAATGTGTAATATATATTTGTATATTGAAATTAATGCAATATATTTAAATAGATTTATTTAAATATTACATTTAAATAAAATTTTCAATAGCTTATAGCTGGCATGAAAAGCACAAAGACAACCTAAATGTCCCTTAGAATGTCCTAACTGGATGCGATCTTATGGATTATCTCGTTCAATCCCCTGATTTTATATGTGTGGAATATGAGGCTCAGAAAAGATGAGAAACTTGACCCAAGGCTACTCACCTAAATTAGCAAAATCGCTATTCTTGGGTTCCTGTTGTTGGATTTAACATTTTTTGTAGCCTCACGTTGGGTGCTGTAAATATGTGTCAATTCTTCCAAACAGAAGAACTAGAACTCTGATAATCTATGGTATTTTTAATTTCCTTATGGTCTAACAATGTGAAGCAAAAAGAGAGAAAGAAGTGGCAAGAACAGCTGGCCAATATTTAAACTAATGTAAGCTTTTTTTCACCTTAAAAGGAACTCAAAATTAAACATGTACTTCAGAGTTCCACGAGGAAAAACTATAGATTTAAACCTAAATAACTAAGCATGTGGCCAATCGGCAAGTACGTGTGTGCACTTACTGCCACGTCATTTAGATCCTTGTGTGCCGTGCACTTGGTGCCAGGGGAAATAGGCTGGAGAGAGGAGTGTCTAAAATCTCAGTGCCGAGCAGAAAGCCACGCCCCTGAGCCTCGGCGATATGCTAACAGATTGTAACTGTGACACTGGAGCAGATCCTCTTAGCCAGAAGAAGATAGGAAGCTGCCCTCCCACTGTCAAGCATTTAGATAAGAGGAATTCAGGTTGAGAGGAAATGAGAGTCATGTAGCAGTAGCCACTTGTGAGTCCAGCAGCAGAAGAAAATACACAAGGTAGCTTCTCACCAAAAAAAAAAAAGAAAGAAAGAAAAGAAAAGAAAAAAAAAAGACAGAAACCCCAAGCCAATGATAAAAGTCATCATTTTAATTAAACACTATACAAAATACAACCGATTACAGACTACCTAAAACTGTGGGAGGGTTAGTTTATAAGAGTTCTGACCACACAGCTCAGCCTTTAAAGAGATTTCAATAGAGATTTTTAAGTTTCCTAAATATCATCTCCTCCTAATAACTAATTCATTAACGTTCATCCCAGACTGCCTGTTGGGTTCCCTTCAATCCACAATTATGCATTAGGAACCCAGGGTATGATTCGGAAAGATCAGGGCAGGAGAAGATGATTCACATGTTAAGCTTCTGGTAATTTTTAAATATTTACAATTTCCTAAATTTCCTCCTAATTTATCTGCAAACAGCATCAGTTTACTAGTGAGCAAGTGCAACTGCACAGTGACAAACCACCCGCAAGGCCAAGTGTATCTCTAGCACTCAGCGGTCCTTGGTCCACAGGGGCTGTGCAACCAGGTCTCAAAGTCCTTTCTGAGTTCTCCGTATGGTCCTCTCTTCATTAGCAGCTTTTTTCAAAATATTCATGAAAGGTAAGAACTAAGTCTAAACAAACAAACAACTCTAAAGAATATACAGAAGCCAGAATCTCTTGCTTCCTCTCTGTACTATCACCTGTATGGGAATGAGTTATACAATGTTTAAAAACGGAGTTCTACTTCATACCCAACTGGAACAAAGATCCTTTCTATGACCCATAGAACATATGGCACATAGTTGTGCCTCAACTTTTCCCCTAAATTTACTGCCCTGTAAGATGGAGTTAATGATAGTATCTTCCTCAGAAGATTGTTTTGAAGGTGAACTATGTGATGCATGTGATGGGTAGATGCCACGTTTGGTAGATAGTAAATACCCCATAAATACCAACTCTTGTTACTACCATCAAAAAAGTGGTGGCAGTTATAACTACGCTGAAATCTGAGATCCTCTCTGCAGTGCATGTAGTGAAACCCCATAAACAAGACACTGGTGCTTATTAAATGAATTCCTGCTCCACTGATAAATTATTAGTGTCAATTATGCTCACACAACAGCCTTATTTTGCCTCTTTCTCAGTAATTAACAACACTCAAAACTTCTCAGCCCTAAGTACTGCCTCATCCTAACCAGGGAAAAGAAGAATCATTTTGTTCCTTAGTTGGACAAGAATGCCAGGCTTTAGAGCTTCACTGTACAGGGATGTTGCCATTTTTTTCTTCATTCTGGAGCTTACCAAATCCATTAATTTATAGCCATGCTGAAATTCTGAACAACCACTTCAATGTAAGAATTACATCTTTCATTTCTTTCTCATGCTGAAATAGCAAAGCACATACATCTGATCATCCTGGACTCTGAGACTTAGAGCATGATGCAATTTCCAATTTAAAAACTTTTTTATCAGAGCACACTTCACAAGCGAAGCTGCCTTGCTATTCCGACCAAAATACAGTGAGGTCTGCGAGGAAACTTGCAGTAATAAATTTTAAAATGCTTGATACCTAGTCACTGAGCAAACCGTCGTGACAACAAGTGTCAGGGGAGGAAGAGAATTTATTCTTAATAGAAGTAACACCAACGATGAACATTTAGGGAGCATGTGCTGTGTGCCAGACACTGGCCTAACTCTTTGAGGAAAGTGTCGTTATTACGTCCACTTTAAAGATGAGGAACCTGAGACATAACGAGGTGAACAGGCAGTCCGACCCCAGGTTCAAGTTCTTATCCACTGTCATACGTAGAGATGCTGTGGCTTTTATACACATTCCATTCAAACACAGCATACCTCAATTCTCGCAAAATGCTCCAAACACTAAACCAAAATCTCTGCTTCGATTTTTTTTTAACCTTTATGGCCATGGAAGAAGCAAACAAAGAGCACAGTTCGAAAATCAGAATGGAGTCCATAAAGAAACCAAGATCTATAAAGAACTTCTCAAACTCAACACCCAAAAAACAAATAATCAAGTCAAAAAATGGGCAGAAGACATGAGCAGACACTTCTCCGAAGAAGACATACAAATGGCTAACAGACACATGAAAAAATGTTCATCATCATTAGCCATCAGGGAAATTCAAATCAAAACCACACTGAGATACCACCTTACACCAATTAGAATGGCAAAAATGGACAGGGAAAGAAACAACAAATGTTGGAGAGGTTGTGGAGAAAGGGGAACCCTCTTACACTGTTGGTGGGAATGCAAGTTTGTACAGCCACTTTGAAAAACAGTGTGGAGGTTCCTCAAAAAATTAAAAATAGAGCTACCCTATGGCCCAGCAATTGCACTCCTAGGTATTTACCCCAAAGACACAGATGTAGTGAAAAGAAGGGCCATATGCACCCCAGTGTTCATAGCAGCAATGTCTGCAATAGCCAAACTGTGGAAAGAGCTGACATGCCCTTCAACAGATGAATGGATAAAGAAGATGTGGTCCATATATACAATGGAATATTACTCAGCCATCAGAAAGGATGAATACCCAACTTTTACATCAACATGGATGGGACTGGAGGAGATTATGCTAAGTGAAATAAGTCAAGCAGAGAAAGTCAATTATCATATGGTTTCACTTATTTGTGGAACATAAGGAATAGCATGGAGGACATTAGGAGAAGGAAGGGAAAAATGAAGGGGGGGAAATCGGAGGGAGAGCTGAACCATGAGAGACTATGGACCTGAGAAACAAACAGGGTTTTAGAGGGGAGGGGGTGGGGGGATGGGTTAGCCCAGTGATGGGTATTAAGGAGGGCACGTACTGCATGGAGCACTGGGTGTTATAGGAAAACAATGGATCATGGGTCACCACATCAAAAACTAATGATGTATGGTGACTAACATAACATAATAAAATTTAAAAAAAGAAACCAACTAATCATTCCTACCTCAAGTCTGTCTGTCCGCATTAATTTCTGTGCGGCAGCTGCAGCAGCCGCAGGTACAGGGACCCCAGGATTCCCTGTAACCAACATTGGTGCGGTCGGCAAGATCTCTGCTGGAACCAGGCTCGGGGACACAGGTCCCAGGTAGGGATTAAAGGCTGCTGATGCATTGGTGGCTAAGCTTGGTGCAACTGAAAACATTGGCTGAAAAAGAAAATAAAAAGCAAAATTTAATCTACAGGTCTTGGCCCGAATTTGATATCCCACATTACATATCGATCCTTCATCCATCCACCCATCCATAATCCATTCTTCCTTCCCTCCCCTCCCCCTCCCTCCTTTCATTTAACTCTGTTTCTTTACTCCCACTACGGATAAGAATGTTTCTTAAATAAGCAGTCATCCAGTCAATGTTTTTCTAAAATATAATAGGTGATTAATCCATTAAATTTCTGCTGGGATTTTGAAACTTGGGTGTCTATAATACTTGTAATTTCTTTTTGAATAATAGATCAGTTATTCAATGCAGTAATTTCTTGTGGTCACCTCATCTCCATTTTTGTCCTGATTTAATCCTAGAAACTTGTCTAAGAAATAATTTTATAATTGCTATGTCAGATGAACTTGAAAGATCTGTTTATAACAGTTAATGGGTTGCAAGTATCCTATTATCTGGAATAAATAAAGCAGAACTCCCAGCAGATAACAAAGTTTCACAGTCAATATAAACTGTGAATAAATCTCATGGGATATGTGAAAGATGATGATGACACAATTTCTTTTGAACACATAAAGTATTTGGCATATTCACTTGTTGTATGTTTTTCTGGAGAAACTATAAATATTCCACCAGCTTATCACACACTTGTGAAATATTTAACAAAGAATTTACCTTACTAGGAAGAAACCATTCTGAATGTGAAGTCTGAGACAGAAAGCTAAACAAATGCTACATGATTTTTCAAGGAAATACACAAGGTAGCACTGACTAAAATATCACAAGACAGAATTTCTGCCAGAAATGCTTTCATGGATATAGGAGGGTGGTTTCTATTTGTGATATGACAATTTGCATATCAGGAAATATATCTGTTCTTGAGTAGAATTAAATAATTTACCTGAAAGCTACTTTAATGATTTGCTTTTCCAGTTTTTTAAAGCATAATGTAGCACAACAATTTTCCACCTTATGGGTGGTGTATTTTTAACTTCCTGATTCAATGGGGTTTCAATTCTTGAAGTTTAATATTTTGTGTAATAATAATGTTTGTCTCCAAAACTCAGAAACTCATGGACAAAATGGATCCTGTTCTTTAAAGGACTTCTTAACAATTAATTTTCTTTACCCTACGGTAAGGAACATAATCGCAGAAATTTTTTAAAATGAAGGGAATGTTAGAATGTAGCTAATTCTTCCCTCTTATAGAAATAAGAAGTTAGATGAACACTGAGTTTACACAGAATTCAAGAGAGCTTTGGAATAAAGTTCTATGCAACTGAGATGTAAAAGTAATTCTTATAGCTCAAAAGAAATGTTTTTAAAAAATAAAATATGTCCTTATTTAGCCTGGCCCTGACTTATCCTGTATTTAGAAGAGTACAATGGAATTCAAGTGTTCTTTTTCTTGGGGCAGTGGTTCTCAAGTACGTACGGGTGATTTTGCCTTGTAGGGCACATTTGGCAATGTCTGCAGACATTTCTGATTGTCACAGCTTGGGGGTGCTGTTGCATCTAATGCGTAGAGGCCAGGGATGCTGCTAGGTGGCCTGCAACACACAGGACAGCCCCTCACACCAAAGAATTATCCAGCCCCAAATGTCAATAGTGTTTAGGTTGAAAATCCCTGTCCTAAGGGATGCACTCGTCTTTTGACTTCACAAACTGTTTTAGGACAAAATCTTTGCAGCTAGTGTATACATTCTTACTAAGAAGACCATGGAAAATAGAAATATTTCATACATAATTTGATTCACTTGGGAGAAGAAACAATAACACCGTACATTCCACTGGGATTTTCAAGTTATAATTATGCCTCCAGACGTGCTGGTTTGAATGCCATGGTTAGCTACCCTGCCAGGTCGATGGCTCCTGCCTGATGAAGTGGCCTCAAGCAATACCTCCGATCCACACCCCCATCCCTGCCCAAAACACTGACAACCGCAAACTACCTGAGTGCTCCAGATATAAACAATCCATAATCGGTCAGAAACTGGGGCCCAAAGCAATCTCTGTCCATCAACAGTTACTTGAATAGCAGCTGACCTTATGCTGCCCCACTGTCTAATGGCTGCTAAGGCATTACCTTGGCAAGGGTTGACCTGTATGGTGAATCCATGTTGAACTTGGACTTCTATTCAGAAATATTCAGGTCGAACATACACTGTTACATACTGTCAGATATAAAATGTGCAATTCCAACCAGACCAGCACTCTAATTTTCTATACTAGGTATTTAAAAATTATAAGAAATTTAGCATAAAAGACCAGAAGACCAGTTTAAAATATGGAGAACACAGCCAGTCCATATCATTCCTCTTCATATTCTATTGCTATGAATTAACATGGATTTCCAGGTAGTGGATTTTTAATGTATACTCTGGAAAGGTACTGAGATGTTTATGTCACTGTACATTATTTAGAAGCAGAGGTCAAATTTACAAACGTATTTGGAGGCAAGAAAATCATTCTTTTTTTTTTTCCTAAGGAAAGCATTCTTATTTTAAGAAAATAAGACCAGTGACCAATAAAGTGCAGCTCTGTTAAATCTCAGTGAATAAACTTCTAATCCATGATGCATATAATGCAGCAGTTGCATGTCACAAATAAAAGAATACTTCTCCTAAATAAAAATATTGATCTCACTAACTGGCAACAATTTTCCTGATGGATTGTTTCTACAGAGGTGTCACATGAATTGATTTTCTGACTTAATGCAGCAGAGCAAATTCAAATCTGAAAAATTTTAGGGCACCATCCCCAAGTAAAATCTAGCAGCTTGAAAAATCTAAAACATCAACTATTCAGCAAGCATTCTCTCCAATTGTTCTCTCTCCAGATAAGTGAAGCTATTTGCTAAACCAGCAGAGGATCAATAATAAATAGCTCTATACTTTGAAACTTGATTCCAAAAGCTGCTCCCAGAAAGTGCAACATTCCTTCCTTTATTTAGAGGTTTTGTAAATTTGTTACATTCCTTCTTCAAAGAGCACCTTGTTGGAGGTAGGTCACCGCGTGGCCCCATCAGTGCCCTAATCGGATTAGAGAGGCACTTGAACTTCTGCGCTGCCAAGTCTCCTTTCCGAAAGCCATCCTGCAGAGGGTTTCGGCAGAATCGCAAGGACGGACATTAATGCTATGGTATTATCAAATGCATCCTATTTTCTCTGAGGTATCCACAGGATAACATATAACTATGTAATTGGCATATTTGATACTGACTACATCCTTGTAATAATGATTTACAGATATCTTTGTTCCTGGAAGGCATAAGGAAGGTTGGCTTATGATTGCCTTTTGCCAGTGAACACCCTCAGTGGAGAAAAACAAATTGCAACCCTACTAATGCTTGTGCATTTATGGGCTAATCACTTGTTTGTTGTAAATTAGACATTTGATTCCATTGAAGTAATCAGGCTTTATTAGAAATTAAAATGATACTCAATTTCACATGACCCTAGTTAAATGTGTGCAAACATGATTATTACTATAATTCCTTCTATTTATCGTGTGCCAGGCATTGTGCTAAGTGCTTTACCTACGTTACTGTATTTAATGCACGTAACAGTAAAATGTAAACTCCATGGGCAAATAAAGCCAAAAACTCCATTGTTTCTGTTTTGAGTTGGGGGGCAGACATCTGTATCGTTCACTGCTAAATCCCCAAGATCTAGCTAGATGCCTAGCACATAGTAAGTACTCAATAAATATACACTGAATAAGTGAGTGAATGAAGGAATGTGTGGATGAATTACAGTCTTGTCAGGTGGGTTTTATTAGTCCCTCCCATTTTGCCGACAGGGTAAAGGGCTCACATAGATTACGTATCCATCATCACAAAGGAGAGCATGAAAGACTTAGGATCTGGACACAGGTGTGTCTGGTTCCAGGTGATCCTGAAACCAGTGATTCTCGGGGCTGGCTGGCCATTAGAATCCTCTGGAGAACTTCAACCCCTGAACGCCCTGGCTCTCCCCACTCATCACAATCCCGTCAGTACTATTTAAAACTCTCCTGGGACATTCCCCTTCTATACATTACGTGGTCTTCTACTATTGAAGAACAGAAACAGGTTCCGATTTTGGATTGTATGTGAGGTCTCCAAGGAGACATGTTTCCTCACAGCTTTCTTCTCAACAATGCTTTTCCCTCTACATGGAAGGTTGTTCCTGCCCAGCCCTCCTGTTTAATTCTAATCACGCTTCAAGAATCACAACTCTCTCTTCAAGTTTCCCCTGATCCGCCCACATCTCCAACTACGAAGAGGTTTTTTCCTACCCTCTGTTACCATAGAACTCCTCACCACTCGAATTTGGCATTGATCACCACATGTGTTTACTTAACCCTCTCTCCTCCTCAAACTAGACTGCAGGCATCCGAGCGTGTCTTCTGCACACTTCCTTCACCCTGCATGGAGCCTGCGGCTGCCATCGAGACACCCCCTCTGCACACACTTCTTTCATGGCGGTATTAATGCATTTGCTGTGTTTCTCCAGCACACAAACTCACTAGCAAATGCATTAAATATTTTCTAGTATAGCTATGTGAATGTTAAAAAAAAAAAGTGATTTAATGTTATTTCCTTTCCACTTGACAATGTAATCATTAATTGGTCTAGGATGCTTGTTTGAAAAGTATAATTTCTTTTAGTTTTGTTTTGCAGTTTTTTTAAAATACTGAGCTTTCTAAGTTTCAGTACTGTGGTATTACCTACCATATGCTGTAATGTTGCAAATATCATAGGGGCCCTAACTTATCTTAATACATTATGTGAAACAGTGTTTGTGATTTTTTAAAAAAATGGAGTATATGTAATAAATAGTATCTAATCAGTATTTGATACGATTTATGGAATACAATTTTTTCAGATTTTTCTAGATTTTACCTTTGTGCATGTGCATGTGTGTGTGTGTGTGTGTGTGTGTTTGTAAAGGTTGAACCTGCAAGTAGTAAAAAAATAAAGCTTTTTTTGTTCCTTGACAGCACATAATCAAGGTGTAAAAAGCCATGTTTCTGGGTACACACAACCCTATACAGGAGTGAGAGAAGTCCCTGTAAACAATTATTTTGAATATTAAACAGTCAAAGATTAAGGGGCGTTCCCAACAAATTCACATTACAATCTCTCTTTTTTTTCCCCCTAGGAGTGTAGCATATGACTCTAATAAAATAAGAAATACTATTTTAAAGTCTGCTTCTAGACCGACTTGTTGACTGGGCAAATCACAATGACCACCTGGCTTTATTTTTAATCTCACCTTACCACTTCAATCTAGCTTTACTGAAGTAACAAACATTTACATAAAGAAGACTCACTTCTGGCCCAGCGAGTAAAAAGGTATCAACACATATGGCCTGGTCCCTAAGATTCGGGCCTGTCTGCAAGCTGCTCGAGGAAGCACCGGCCGGCTCCTTGACTGAAACAGGCACTAGATGGAGCACGGATGACGGCCGTGGTGGCCACATTTTACTGGAAATGCTTTCTCAGAAGTGGCCTTATCTCAATCACTAGGTTGGGAAACCTGGAGGGTAAAGCACTAAAAACCAATTTAAGAATTCTAGGTGTTCCTGGAAATGTGACATATGGTGACTTCAAAGCTTTCAGCACTCAGCCACCAACAACCATGAGGTGGGAACACCAGGGCAGCAAAAGTGAGGCGACGGGGACAGCAAGAGAGCTCCCAAGACTTTTTAGCTAAGTCCGGTAACTTTGCATTTCTTTATCCCTAGGCTACTTCAAATTCATGAAATGCACAGGAATTCAACTTGAGTTATGTACCTCAAGGCAGCTAGGTGTGTGTGTACCTTAAGGGGAGCAGCCCTCAGACATTACCGATGGCCAAGGCTAAGCTTTGGGAGAGCAGGGAAAAGGCACAGGAGTGGAGTGGAAGTGCAGAGCTCAGACACAGCTCTTCATAACCATTCCTTATGCAGAGCTCTTCAAGGGCAATGACAAAAGCCTGGAATCGACGGAACTGCTAAAGACATCTTTCTGGGATGGATCAAAGAAAATACACCAGATGCTTCCAAGTTGTGAGCCACAAGATACGGTCTATATTTGGTTAGGTTGCTTAGTTTTCTGGTTGGATTATCTCTGCATCAGAGAGTACATAGCAATGTAATAATTTTTTTTTTTAAAGTAGTACTTAGAAAAAATCCAAATATTTAATTTTTTACATTTGGATAATCAAATACTATAGGTCTTCCATTTCTCTTCAAAGATCACATAATAAAGAGAAATACGATCTTTTTACATTTTTCTTAGGGGCTTAGGAATGATAATAGAATTAATGCCAGTTACTTAATAATTTCTTATGCAAATTTCAGGGAGTAGACACACAGGTAAATTCAATTACTTATTTTCAACTACTTATTTTCTCATCTTATGAAACAGAAATAATTATGAAATTGTTAGGAACTTGCAGATAATAATATATTTGAAACTTATCACTATATGTTAATGAAGGTCAGAGATTTTAAATGAATCAACGAAGGACCCAGAGCTGGTTGGTGGCATATCTCCAATTAGTGTTTCTACAGCCTGAATGCTAGCACCTGAACAGCTTGGGTTAAAATCTTGGCCCTACTAAGCACTAGCTATGTACCTTGGGCAAATTACTTAACCTTTCCAAACCTCTTGTGTCTTTATGAGGGTTGCTGGAGTGGTGGGGGTTGGGAAGGATGGGGTGGCTGGGTGATAGACATCGGGGAGGGTATGTGCTATGGTGAGTGTTGTGAATTGTGTAAGACTGATGAATCACAGACCTGTACCTCTCAAACAAA